CTCTCCCCCCACCCTTTCTCCCTCGCAACCCCCAGACATGGCTGGTCCTGACCTAAGGGGAACCTCCCCCCTCCCATCCACCCTGGTTCCCCCTAAAAATTTATTAAAACACCCCTGTAAAAACGTTCTTAACTTAAATAATTTGGATAGTTTTTTGTCCGTGACCACTGCATGCCACCTCTCGGGGTTCCACACCCCATCCTCGAGGTAGGCCCCTGAGATGTTCCTGGGCCAGGCCTGCGCGAGGGGTGAATCGCACAGGGCCAGCAGGGCCGTCTTCATATACATAGTCCGAACAAGGGAGTCCGTGGCATAGAGGGAGGGGTGATGTTTAGTCCCCTTAGGTCTTTCAAAACAAGGCCAAACGGAGACACAAATGATTAAAAATATATTGTGCAGCATTTGGAACATAAATCCATCATTCTCGCCTTCTTGCTTCTGATCCCATTAGCAATACAGGTAGCCCTCAACTTAGGACTACAATTAAGCCCAAAATTTCTACTGCTAAGCAAGATGGTTGCTAAGTGAGTTTTGACCCATTTTATGACCTTTCTTGCCATGTTGTTAAGTGAATCACTGAGGTTGTTAAGTTAGTAACTTGGTTGTTAAGTGAACCATTGATTTTTCTTGTAAGAAGGTCACAACAGGGGATCACATGACTCTGGGACACACGGCAACGTCATAAATATGAGCCAGTTGCTGAGCTTCTGAATTTTGATCACGTGACCACAGGGATACTACAACGGTCACAAGTGGAAAGCTGGTCGTAGGTCACACTGCCATTGTAACTTAAAACGCTCACTAAATTCATTGTTGTAAGTCAAGGAATACCTGTATTCAGTCTTTGAATATTTAAACCATTTGCTACATTTATAACTGTTCCACTGCTTCACACGCCTTTCCCAGTAACAGTGCAGGCGTAGTTGATTTGCTTACAACCATCTCATGAAACATTCTCAGCACAGAGATGTATTTTTGACCCTAATGTAGCCCTAGCAAAAACGTTAAGTCAAAGCATATATTTCAGAACTGGTGTTCCTAAAATAGGCATCTATTATTTTTTTAAAAAAAAGAAAAGAAAAAGAAATGTAACTGGTTTTGCATTTGTCTTGATGCACATTAGAGCAGGGGTCCCCAACTTCCGGGCTGTGGCCTGTTTGACCACCGGGCCGCGTGAGTGGCTGGCCAGTGCGTGCACGTGTGTGGGTGCACTCGCCTCCCCCTCGCAGTAGCGTTGCTGTGAGTCACGCATGCGCTAGTGTCGCCGTGAGTGTTGCTGTGAGTGTCGTGCATGCTAACGTCACCGTGAGCATTGCACTTGCGGCCCTGTTCGCATGCGCACATAAAGGCGCCTCCCCCTCCCTTTCCCTCCGGGCCCCCAAACCAGAAAAGTTGGGAACCTCTGCATTAGGGTCACAAATTGTATTCTCAACTTTTCCACACTATGTATGTCGAATTGCAGCCATTGTACATAAAAATAAAATATCTTTAAGACTATATATTATTTATGCTAACCATATTAACATGAATAAGAACATGGATATTGGATACTTTTCTTTTAATTATTTATTTTATATGCCACCCATTGCTCAATAGGATAACTCTGGGCAGAACATAAAAATAAATAAATAGAATGCAATTAAAATTTAAAAACTGTTCTTCTTCTTCCTGTGCCATATCCGTTATCGGACGCTGGCGATCATGTTAAAACTATGCACATTAAAATTTCAAAATTCTGCAAAAAGTTAAGAAGAATTAGGTGGATGGCACAGGGATAAGGTCGTCTTAACCCAGTGGTTCTCAACCTGTGGGTCGGGACCCCATTTGGGGTCGATCGACCATTTCACGGGGGTCGCCAAGCAAGGCTGTCCGCCATTTTTTTGTCCACCATTTTTCCCCCCTTTTCCGGTGGGTGCCTTACCTCCCTTGGGCTGGGCCAGCTGGTGGTCGGCCTGCTCCGTCTCTGCCGCTTGCCAGCTATGCCTCAGCCGGCGGAACCACGCATGCACGGCGCTCCCGGGCAGGGAAAGTCCTCGACTTACGACCGGTTGGGTAGTCCTCGACTTACGACCGGTTTAGTCCTCGACTTACGACCGGTTTAGTCCTTGACTTACGACCGGTTGGGGTCGCGGCATTAAAAAGGTTGAGAACCACTGTCTTAACCCATCAATTCTGCACCAGCTATAGCTTTGGACTACTCTTCAAGGGTAGCCCCATGTAGAGTGCATTGCAGTAACGTAACCGAGACGTGACTAAGGTATGAGTGACCATGCAGAGGGCTGCCAAATCCAGATAAGGACAAAATTGGTGCATAACGTGAAGTTATACAAAAGCCCTCCTACCCACAGCTGCCTCAAAGAGCAGGAGTCGTGAGTCCAGGAGAACACCCTGGATTAGTGCAACCCCTGTCCAGAACTAAAGGCGATAAACAACTGGACCTTAAGGCCCCTTGCACCCACAGCCATTGTCTTGCCAGGGTGCAGCTGAAGCCTATTGTTCTCCATCCAGGCCCACATAGCCTACAGGCACCGAGAAAGGGCAGCCACATGATTGCTTGGACCAGTGTATTCTCAGTGAATCTGATTTACCGTGCAAGAAGTAGAGAGAACATTGGCAAGCAGCTATGAATGATCCAACTTCAGTCTCTTTTCTATCTGAATTTCTGTCCGTTGACTCCCCTTGAAGTCGGCCAGACTTTGCAAATAGATTCCTGAGTGCTGGTTGTTAATTAGTGGTAGAGAGAGACAAGTGACTGGTAGACTGGAACCTAGTTCTCAGATCTTCTGGCCTTCAGTTGTCAAACAGACAAATGAATCGTGACTACTATCATAACTCTCAGACTTTTTATAGAATTAAGCAAGCTTCCCAGCGCTTACGTGAAATACACAGAAGATGCATGCAAGCTAAATCAGAACTGCATCTCTGCTTCTAAAAATAGTCTGTAACTATTCTAGCAAAAAAAAAAACCAAAGATCCGGTGACGGTTTGCTAACTTCTCTCCTGCTTGCTTTCCCTGTTTGTTTGTTTGTTTGTTTTTTTGCCCTCCACAGCTTACTAAGACAGGTCCAGGTGTCAACTGCTTGGAGTCCATGTGTTGCTTCTCCGATGGGGAACCAGCCTGCACATCTTTTAGAAGACTGCTGGAGCGACTAATGGGACGGTGCAGCCCCACCCGAGTCAACAGGTGTGGAATTTCTCTGAAATGCCTTTGCTGCAGACAGTTCTCCTATAAACTGGAACACGATGAGCCGACAACTATAGATGTCTAGTCCAGTCCAAGACAGGAAACCGTCTTCCTAGGTTCAGTTTGGGATCGTAAGAGAAGATCCAAGTTTGTGCTTTTCATGTGGGGGAATGAGAGATCGTTGCGTTACTGGTTGTTGTTGAAAAACTGGTTGAATTTTTTTTTATTATTATTATTATTATGCCGTCCTTTTTCTCTGATCCTGCAACTGCTGTTGTGCCTTTAGTGGCTTTGGCGTGATAAGCTGTCTCAGGGGACCATTTCCCTGTTCTTTTTGAGCACTGCCCAGTGATGCACAAGTGTGCAAGGCGGCTTTTTCTTGCTCTGAGCTCCCTGTGTGTGCATCGTTTTTGCCTATCTACTTCTCTGTGCGTTTCAGTATAGTTTCTCCCCTTCCCTTGCATGTCCTTTTCTTAAAATCAGACCACTCTCCTCTTTTCCCTTCCCATGGTCTAGCTCAGTGTTTCTCAACCTTGACAATTTTAAGGCAATGCTGGCTGTGGAATTCTGGGAGTTGAAGTCCACATGCCTTAAAATTGTCAAGGTTGAGAAACACTGGTCTAGCTGCTTTGCCTTTTAAAATCAGAAGGCTGGTCCTGTGTTTGATCAACACGTGTCTCCGCTTCTAGACATGCCGCCAAGTTTCCTTTTAGCTCTGCAAGGTTTGCGTTTCCTCCCCAGAAATTTTCACTTCAGGAAAAAAAAGGAAAAAATTGGCAGGTCTACCTCTTAATTCTTGTTCATCGACTGTGCGAACATCAATTACTTTTGACAATGTGAAACAAAGCTCACATCTGAGTAAAAAGTAATAATCTAAAGCAGTGTTTCTCAACCTTGGCAATTTGAAGAGGTGTGGACTTCAACTCCCAGAATTCCCCAGCCAGCTGTGCTGGCTGGGGAATTCTGGGAGTTGAAGTCCATACCTCTTCAAGTTGCCAAGGTTGAGAAACACTGATCTAAAGCCACCTCAAAAAATGATTAAAAGTAGACCTTTTTTAACTAGCACAACGCCATTCAGAAATAAATGCTAAACCTATTTATATGTTCGCTAATTTATACAGGTCTGTTTTGTAAATTTTGAAAAGATCCTCACCAGGAAGATCAGTGAGAACCGTTCCTTAATTTACGGAAGGTTCTATCCGTTGCATCTTAAAAAGAACAGGTGAAAACTCTTCAAAGATGTTGTAGAACGAGAAGGTCGGGAACTTTTTGCCCAATGTTTCTATATGCTTGTCTAAGTGCCAGGTTAAGATTGTTTTCTACTTTCCTTGACATTAGCCATCTTTCTCAAGCATCAAACGAGAGCACTTTGTCCAGCCTTGGTCACAATCAAACAACAGTTTGAGTGGGGATAGGTTGAGATCAAGCAAGCTATTAGGCTAAGATTCCCAGTTTGGGGGAGACAGACTTGAACAAGAAGAGGGCATGGATGATGTCTTGCAGTCCTCTTTGGATGGCAAGAAAAGTAGGATGCTGCTTTCAAAAGATCAGTAGAAACATCTGGAGAACTTGCAAATGGCCCACACAAGTTAGTAGTACAGCTATCAGATTTCTATGGCAAAAAAAAGGCCGGACAACCATTGGATGGCATAGAGCAGGGGTAGGCAACCTTGGCTCTTTTATGACTCGTGGACTTCAACTCCCAGAATTCCCGAGCCAGCTTGGCTGGCTCGGGGAATTCTGGGAGTTGAAGTCCACGAGTCATAAAAGAGCCAAGGTTGCCTACCCCTGGCATAGAGTATTAGTTTTCTATGTTTGTTTGCTGCTATCTATTGGTCAGCTGGATGTTTGCAGTCCTAATCTAAGGATGCAGTAGTTTTTTACTAGTAGCTGGTTACTTTAAAAAAAAAATGTTGGAAAACTTAACTATGGTCACTTCTAAATTGTAATTTTCAGTGCTCAGCTCTTCTGAATGTTACTTCCTCATTGTTTTTTGTTTTGTTTTTTGTTTTAAATAATATCCTCAAGGCTATTTATCCCTGTGCAGCTCCATTTTAAGTTTTTTTTACTCAAGTGATTATTTTTCCTTCATAAAAATGGGAACTGTTACAAGCCGGATTAAAAAAAAATAAAACAGTAACCTGTCTCTCTTTGTAAAGAAAAGAAGGCAAGATGTATAAAATAAAATATTTCCTAGACATTTTTAAACCGGGAGCAGTATCTGATTGATCTCACGTTAGCTTTTTCTCTCCCCGGGGTAATGATTTCTGATAAGGTATCTTGGCACCTCTTGGATATTCTCTACCATTAGAATGCCTGCCTGCCACTACTTAGGATTGAAATGTGTATGGAATGAGGTCTTGTCAGTGTCAAGGTTACCCTGCAGGAGGGTATACAGTGTCTCTCTCTAATTCACCATGCAGAGATACTTGGAACTCATTCCTCTGACCCAGAGGTGTATACCTTGCGCCTCAGACACAGAGCCTTGATCAAACCATCATGGTTGCAATCTTGACTTTTTAACCACCCCCTATGGATACTCCCTCTTCAGCCCTTATGGTCAAGGAGAGCAACCTTGATTGCACCAGAATTTTCATATCAAGCTCTTTCATGTCCACCCTTTAAAATGATTGTTATCCACATCAATCTTCCACGAGAGAGAGTTATGTTTGTAGTCACTGTTGGGTCGTATGTATGCAACAGGTGTAGCCCATTCAGGCAAAAAGATAGCAGATTCATCTTCATTATATGCTAAGCTTAGTTGGTGTAACCTTGGCTAGTCTTTTTCTCTGGTTTAGCATGATGTGCAGACTATGACCAATGATGGAATGAGGGATTGCACAAATCCACAAAAGTGGTTTAATAATTCAAGTCTGAATGCAGCCTTGGATCGGAAATTGGAATTATTTTGGAGGAGTTTACTCCTATCTCATTAGCCCCATTTTAGTCGTACAATGTGTGATGCTACATTGGAAATGAAGCAAGTGTTATATTCAGAAGTCTGTGCTATCTTGTACATTGAAAGTTTAATGTAAAAATGTCACTCAGAGAGAAGGTCATAAGTCCTAGCTATGGTTCTTACAAAAGGTAGGTACTGCCAGCTTCGAAATCAACTTTGAATAAATACGTCTTGTGATTTTTTTTCAAAATGTTTTTCTCTGTTTTATCATCTTGACACACACAAGGATATGATTTGACTCTCATGTTTGATAGAAGATGAAGTACTCACTCATCTAACCTGCAGGCTGACGTGTGTGGAAGACGGATCGCCAAAAGAGTACTTTGAAATTCTGCCAAATTAGAACAAACTTCTAAATTGTCTTTAATTTATATTTTGCAATGCAAGATTTAAAACCGTACTGCCTTCCGGGCACTTTGACACTGGGGTCTAGACTGCAGTATTTCGTAATGCAACAATTGATCTTACTTGTACAAAACTTGATTCGTTAAAATCAAGGATTTAACAGTAATGACAATCTGGGAGAGTACAGTCATTTCCCAGAATTATTTGGACAGTATTTAGTTCCCTAAGCAAAATACCAAGAAATGCATATTTTCAAGGCGCAAAATTTTCACACGCAGGCAGAGATGCAAAGTGGACTTCGCCTTATATTTCGATTTGAAAACGTATTAGTCACTTTCCTTGCAATAGTAGCTAACCTGGATATAAGTTAAAAACATTTCCACAGTGGTTTACGGTAATGATCCATAATACTTTACAGAAGTGACCCAAATAAAATGTATTCTGCAGGCCATCTCTTCTTTAATTTGTTCCATCGTAACATAATTAGTATAGATGGAACAGATGGAAATCATCTATGCGGCATTTGATAGCCCGCTTCTGTCTTTGTGAAGAGGATCGGTCTCAACTGAAGCCCATTAAGATACGTCTCAGGTGGAGAGTCCAGGACTCCTATCCAACTGGCAGGTGTATAGTCTCCCAGTGTCTACAAATCTAAACCGATTTCTGTGGTCTTTACCAACTATTAAGGAAAGTTGCGTTACCAACCATATCTTCTTCGTACTTAATATTCTGTCAAATATGAGGATCAGAGCATGAAATCAAACCTATTGAATAATTTGGACGCGTGATCTCACATGTCATCTAATTGTGTGCTTAAATGCTTGGAGTATAAAGGAAAGCAAATACAGTGCCTAACATTCTCCTTAACAGAATGAACACCTATTAAATCGCTTAACAGAACCTTCGTTCCATTTCTTGTTTTCATTGTGCACAGTTTTCTCCAAATCATCAAAAATCTGTCCTTCGTTTCTCTTCCATCCAACTGTCCCCTGCATTGATTGCTCCAAATTCAGCGTTGTGTTATTAAACATATCCATTTGCGGTGTTTTGCTCAGCTGATTTTGGGTGGCTGGGGTAAATAGTCACATGATCTCTCATTTGGGGGTTGGACACCAATTATAGCAGTGTTTCTCAGCCTTGACAATTTTAAGGCATGTGGACTTCAACTCCCAGAATTCCACAGCCAGCAACGCTGGCTGTGGAATTCTGGGAGTTGAAGTCCACATGCCTTAAAATTGTCAAGGTTGAGAAACACTGAATTATAGGATTCCTTCTGTTCCTTCGTAGCTCTGCCTATGTGCATAATCAGCATTCTGGAGACATAAACTTTCTAGAATACAGTGGCTTGGCCCAGTCTTCTATGAGAGGGAAAAGCTTTAGAGCAGAGGTTGGGGACTGTGGCCTTTGCTGGCTGGGGAATTCTGGGAATTGAAGTCCACAAGTCATAAAGGGGCCGTAGTTCCTCGCCTCTGCTTTAGAGCATGCCTATGTTTACATAAAACCTCCACGCATGTGGAACTCTGGATTAGAGTAACTGTATGAAAACAAGTCGTAACTCTGATCTAACGGTAATAACGTTCCCAAGAACGTATACAACTCTTACCATTTCTGATCATGGTCCTGGGAGTTTCCTGCATCTTTTGTGCCTAATTTGCCCCCAACTTTAGATCGTATCTTGGTCATTCGTATCTTGAACCCGGGCTTCCCGTCAGCAACGTTTCTTTCTTGTTATTACTTTAGATCATGGAGCTCTACGGAACCTTTCTGTACCAGCGACCGAAGCTTCTTGACGTTATCCACAATGGAATCCATTACTTGAGACTTTTCTCAATGCCTTGTGGAAACCCATATGACAACTTGGTTGTAACCAATCTACCAGCCCCTTATGGCATCCTTTTTAAATGTCATGGCCAGGTTCATATATTAGGAGGGGGGGGGAAAGATTTAAGCCTGGTATTTGCAACAAAATACTGTTGAAAAATTGTACATTCCGGTGGAAACATTAGCGTCGTTTTGATGGATCCTTTTAATTTTCCATGGTCACATTATTAATAATAATAATAATAAGCTAGAAACCCTTTAGAAAAGCGATTGCTTTGGTTCCCAAATATCCACAACTCATTATTAAAACTGGGAAATGGAATTCTTCTCCACAAGCTGAAAAGATCGTCCTTCATACATTGTCTTAGCTAATTCTGAAAGATTTTGAACATCGGGGGGGGGGGAATGCATATTCTGGAGAGGGAGAATGAACTCCCGCACAAGGCCAAAAGCTTGGAAGAATAAACCTTTGGTCCCAGTGACCGACTCAGATTGGATCCTGCAACGTTATCCTGGGACACATATATTTACTTTCATTTGCAGGGGGGGGAAAAAAAAGTCTTAAGGAAGCTGTTAAATAAATTAGCTTTATTTCTGGACATTCTTGATTCAAATCTGGGGGAAAGGATGCTTTTTGAGGCATTATTTTTCTTCTTCCCTCCCTTCCCCCCCCCCCAAATCTGTTTATCTAGAGATGTTATACTCTTGTTGAGAGCACTTAAGAATTCTCCCTGATTTTGCAGGGGCGGCAAAAAATACACAGCGGCACTTGTACATAGTTTATATCAAATGAAGCTGCATGCTGTTCGGGACAATAAACGAGATGATGGCCTTAGCATAAAGAAATTGTGTCTTGTGAATTCTTGATCTCAATCACACGGGTTGGTGGGCCCAAATGCCACAAACGGAGCATTGAAAGCGTTAGCTCCCACATCCCCTTCCCACATTTTCCCCGATAAGCTGTGTGGGGGAAGGGGGTTGAGATGAAAAAGTTTGGCATTTGCTTTTGCTACTCCAGTCCCACCTCTGTGGCTGCAGAAAACCCATCATAAATTATCGGGGGGGCGGGGGTTCTTTTTCCTTCTGCCAGCAGCAAATTTCAGAATTTGAGAATGCCTCTCTGGGTCCCTCCAGATCAATTACAGGGTCATCTTCCCCATTCCAAGATTTGGGCTGGGCCCCCGATTCCAAAATTAAGCAATTATCAGAAACTCCACTTGTTCAAACTCTCTGAACTGGCCATATACTTGCATAGCTTTTAGGAATATCAGTTCCTTTTATTTTGCTGATTATTTTCCCACCCGTTACGAGCCAAGAGATTGATTCAGTGTGGCAGTGGTTTTCAAACCAGAGAACTTTTTAAGATGTGTGGAACTTCAACTCCCAGAATTCTGGGAGTTGAAGTCCACTCATTTTAAAGTTCCCTAGGTTAGTAGCCTTCTGGCAGAATGCCATTCATTTCAAGCAGAGCTTTTCAGGGATATGGCCCCTCGCAATCAGCCCGCGCTTATTCCAACGTATTTAATGTGTTCCCCTTATTCCAAATATCATTTACTCGTTTTATTTCTATCCTGCCTTTCTACCCCAAGTTCTCATTTAAAGGAGTACCATTTCATCATTGTCACGGATCACTCATATCCATCCTTTCCATTCTGGTTTGTCTTCCCCTTCCCCTCCCCTCCCCCCCCCAAAAAAAATAATAATTTTGAGAAAAATCCAAAATTGAAAGAAGTATCAAAACTCCAAGCATTTATTTAAATCCACGTCATCGTGCGATTAATATTTCCACTTTGGTTTTTTGTATGACGTTTAGAATGTAATTCTTTCTCTCCACAGATGTACAATTCTTACTGGAACTGACTTCCGTGTTTTTGTTTTTGTTTTTTAAATTCCCATTTCTTTCTCGTCCCTCCTCAGTGTGTGTAAGGGTGCAGAAGAAGCATGCATTTAAACAAATTCAGGAAGAGTTTAAGACTCCATCTGTCCAAGCCTGGTATCAGTTTCTAACTAAGGGGCAAAAGTAACAACCGAGTGAAGACCTGTTTCCTTCTCCTGTTGTTTGATCTGTGACCAGCAAGTCGGGTCAAATGGAAGGAAAGCAAATGTATTTTACACCGGATCACGATTTAAGTTTCGTCATTTCTTTCTTTGAATGTTTACGTGTTATAGTAACTCACGTTTACTTCTAGGTTGAGGATGAGGCCAAAATACATTGAAAAACAAAGAAAAAGCAAATGTAGAAACTCACGTCAAATTACAACAGATTAAGCAATAGTATGAGTTGAGATAAGCCAAAGGAAGGAAGCCGGCTGATTTTTCATTATATTTTGGGGGATGATGGGATCAATTCTATTAAGTCTTTTGAGGGTCTGCAGAACACGAAAAGAAAGGCATTTTTTTCCCCCCTCAAGACCAATAACTCCACGGACATGATCATGTCATTTTTCTTGGCAGCTATACCGAAATGGATTGTCGCATTTTGTGGAATAGTTTTCAACTTCCCAGATGAGGCTACTGCTCTGGTAACACCTGCTTAGTATTTTGGCTCCACTGCTTTCCACTAAGTTGCAGAGTTCCCTGTTCCAAATCAAGATGCCACTGATGACGTGTTCAGTCTTGGTCATGGCGAACAGAGTGGAACAACTCACCCGTAGCGCAACGGTGGGGTAAAGGATTCGGGGCAGAAGGAGCTCAAATGACAGTCCTTGAAGGACTCCCAAAAGAGCATTGGATCCGTGTTGGCTTCAGGAATTTCTACGTCAGTTGCAGGATGAGTAGCTAAGTGGTTTGGAAAGCCATCTTCTCTATGCTCACTGAAAATGAAGCAAGTCCCATTTGTCTTTCCGCCACATGATGGTCTAGGTCAGGGGTAGGCAACCTTGGTTCTTTTATGACTCGTGGACTTCAACTCCCAGAATTCCTGAGCCAGCATGGCTCAGTTTGGAAACTCTCCCTTTCCCCTCAGCATGGCTGGCTCAGGAATTCTGGGAGTTGAAGTCCACGAGTCATAAAAGAGCCAAGGTTGCCTATCCCTGGTCTAGGTTTAATTCCCCCAGTGAGGCATGGCATCATATGACATACGAGTTGACAATAGAGTTGACTGATCATCCCTCAGAATATGGCTGTTGAAAAGAAATAACCTAGGATTGACATCTGTTCTCACATTCAGCCACCATAGGAACACAAAACCCACATTACAAATCACTCAGTTAAGGGACTTGGTTTCTTGATGATCCTATAAAGAGAGACGCCTCCTCAAATTCAGTCCATTGTCTTTGCAACTAAAAAGTACTAACTTTCCACCTGTGAAATAGATGCCAGGTTGAATTTTTTTTTCCCACATGAACTTAAAACTACAGTAAAGGAGATTTCCAGTGCAGGAATTCCCTAATGGTAAGAACTGCCAGCCAATCATCTGTCCGAAAGGCTTTAGCAGTTCCTGCACTGCATAAGGGACTGAATTAAATGATCTTAGAGATCCCTTCCAACACTAGAATTCTATTATTTTATTCCAGTACGTCCTATTAAGAAAGGGTGTGCTGTTATGAATTTTGACTAGCTTGGGAGTTGATGGAAGTGCAGCTGAATTTGTATAAACTCACTCAGTAAATCAACCACACTCAGGGAAAAAGATGCGTTTTAAATCGCTAAACATTGCCCAGCGATCCAAAGAACCATAAATGTACCCTTTTTTAGTTCAAACTTTTCTCAGGATAAAAAGGAATTAGTATTTGTTGGGAAATGATGTCTGGATTGTCTGTGTTTTTAACAAGTGATCAGAAACTTCACTGTAAAACTGCAAAGTTCAGTCACAATTCGTCGTTCCAATACTGGGTTTCTATGTACAGAAAGTAGAAGGAGGAAGGAGTATTGTGTATGTTCACTGCCTTGAGTTGCTTATGAAGTAATAAAGGCAGACTAAACCTCTAAACAAAAATGGAGTTACAACCAGTGACGGGGCAGATTTGTGTATACATACCAGGTAGTCCTCGACTTACGACCACAATTAAGCCCAAGATTTATGTAGCTAAGTGAGCTTTGCCCCATTATACAACTTTTCTTGCCACCGTTGTTAAGTGAACCATTGCAGTTGATAAGTCAGTAACACAGTTGGTAAATGAATCTGGCTGCCCCCTTGACTTCGCTTATCAGAAGGTTGCAAAAGGGGATCACGTGACCCTGGGATGCTGCAACTGTCATAAATATGAGTCAGTTGCCACGCTTCTGAATTTTGATCACGTGACCATGGGGATGCCTCAAAGGTTGTTTAAGTGTGGAAAATAGTCATAATTCACTTTTTTCCAGTGCCGTTGTAACTCTGAATGGTCACTAAATGAATTGTAAGTTGAGGACTACCTGTACTTACATTTTGTTTTTAAGTATTATATTTCTTGTTCAATTTTGTGCAAAGGGTTATTGACAAGATTGCTTTCTTGGTTGTTAAGAATTGTGTCTTTCAATAACTAATATTTGCTAAATAACATGGGTTACTATCTGAAAAATGGATTAGCTGAACTGCTTGGTTTGGTCTTGTGTAGGCACAGATAAACTGTCTACGAGCGATCTTGAGCATGCCTCAAGCCAAACCACAGCGTGCTAGTTTTGCCGAACAAGACATAAAGGTAACCATACTGTGGCTGAGTACTTGAGGCTGAGTAACCATACTTGAGGCTGAGTAACCATACTGTGGCTGAGTACTGAGCCAGGAGTGTCCAACATTGGCAAGTTTTAAGACTTGAGGACTTTAACTCCCAGAATTCCCTAGCCACCCATACTGGATGGGGAATTCTGGGAGCTGAAGTCCACAAGTCTTAAAGTTGCCCAGGTTGGACACGCCTGTTCTAAGCCATGCAACCATTCTGCTTTATGGAATTCTTCCTATGGTATGCCATTGACTTAATAGGGGAGCCTTCGGTCTTGGTCTACAAATAGATTTAGACCTGCAGTTGGGAGTAGGTCAGCGATCCAAACTATATGTTGCATGGCGAAACAGACTGCTTCAATACCGGCATCAGCAGGTACTGTTGAAGTAGACTCTGCTGAAACTTAGGAATTCAAGGGCTGAAATGTTATGGTATAGGTCAGGAGTGTCAAAACTGCCGGCCTGCAGGCCGG